TGGTTTTGTCAAATCCCAGGAGATGTATCTTATCACGAGTAATTCCAACAGTAATTGTACATGCATCCATTTCATTTAGTTGAAATTGTGCCTTTTTAATTAAGCATCATTATTAAACTGGACATTTCTGTAATTGCAGTATTTGGGTTTTGTAAGCCAAAATTAGATCACATTTTTAGGATAGCTGGTTCCTGTATATTTCAGCTGCTATAGTTTATAAATGCTTAATAGATAGTAATAATGATATTTAAAATAGTGCTTTCAGTTGTACTGAAATACACACTGCATGACAAAACACTCGAGCTGTCTTTCAATGGAGAGGAATAGGAGGGGTAAATGGATTGCAGTCTGTCAAATTCATGACATCCAGAAACATGAAACAATGTACAGTAGGTCATACCTTTTCCATTGTATTTAAGGTCTGTATCTATATAGAAAAAGTCTGCTGAGCACTGTATTGTAAATCATTATATATTAACAACAGCCATTCCATTTTTTTATTAGTTGCTCTTAGGAAAGTGAAGGAGGCAGTTTAGCCTCCTTCACTTTGCCATTATCATCATCATCAACCTTTTTTTAAATACCTTGCATAGTAATCGGTTGCTGTCTGCAGAAATACTGCATGTGGACACAGTAGGGGGTACATTACCATACAGTTGGAGTGTGAGTGAAGGTTTAGGGATAAGACAGGTGAGAATCACAAGCTCATGGGCGAACCACAGTCAGCAGCTTGAGTCACCCCAGAGAGAGTTTGAAGGTGCGTGCATTGCATGCTCAGAAAAAAAAAAGACAAAATTCAGAATTTAATCATACATTACGGTCGGAAACTACAAATTCAAACATTATAAACTCAGGAGGGCTTTTGGAATTTGGAACAAGCTTTGTCAAAGTAATACTTTGACTGCGTCAATTCCTTACAACCAAATGAGTTTGATGGGCTGGTTTCCAAACCCTACATAGTAATGTGTAAATATACTTTTGGTCCTGTGGAACATTTTATGAAAATGTAGTGCCTGCAGAGGCGAAATAATAATTCAAAAACCTTTTCCTCCTCCTTCTCCTGTAACTCATCCGGCAATTTTCACACAACTTCCTCCAATGCAGGGGAGCTGGAGCCTATCCCAGCAAGCGACAGGCTCAAGGCATGATACAGCAGGGCAGGATGCAGTCCATCGCAGGGCACACACAGACACACACACCAGGGCCAGTTTTCCCAAAGTCAACTAACCTTACAGTAAACCAGTATAGTAGAAGGAAACGGGAGCACCCAGGGGAAACCCACGCAAACATGGGGAGAACACTCAAATTCCACACAGATACCTGCCCAGATGTGGAACTGAACCCAGGACTACATCCACATGTTTTGAAAATGATACAGCAGCAACCCATTTTTCAATAACTGCAAACTCTTGTTTTGCCTGTGTTTGTTACTTTGCTCAGTACAGAAAGTTTCATTGTTTTAAAATTCTTATTTTTATGGTTATACATACAGGAATGTCTTCTTGGCCCCTATGTTAAAAAGTCTTACAATGAAAGGACTTTTAAATGTTTAATGAAATGTAACTGGATGAAGAACAAAATCAACCAAAAAGCGAAACTTTTGCTCTTTTAAGGGTGCATGGGTCATCTGAAAAGCATCAGAAACTTAATATAGTGGGGTCAATTATCCGCTCAGTATTCTTCGCCTTTGTTTCTAGTAATATACCTGAAGCTTACGTGTACCCATTCTGATCTTCAGATAAGTGAAATACAGAAGGTTTGATACGTTTGATGATGTAAAAGTGCATTAATAACTTTGTATTTTGCAGTATTTAGAGTAAAAAGTGTGCCAAATTGTAGCTTCTGATCGTAATTGTACTTCAGACAGAAACGCTACTCCTACATGCTACTCCTATATAAGAAGCCCTAGTTATTAGTTTCCTTTTAATATACCTCACTGAGCTCATCCTTACAATCATATTCAAGAGGGGAGTTGTCTGGAACTTGCTGTTCTGCTTTACCAGACTTTTAAGTGAAATGGGCTATAACAACAGTGTAGAACAGCCTGGCTGGACAGCCTAGCAGCACTAGAGAAGTAGGTTAATTGATTTCAAAGAAGAAATACAAATGTAGAGAGAACAGCCTCTGTTTGCTCCCCCAGGCAGAATTTGAACTTTCCCTCTACTGAGCCACTAAGATCTCTGGATCGCAGTTCTTTGTTACGAAGCAAAATGCAGACAGTGCAGGAAATACCCCTACTTCGCTCCGTGGAGAAAGGGAATTGGAACATGTTTCTGGTCTTGCCACCGGTAGCCTTACAAACAGTTTTCACCTTGCAAGACTAATTCTGTGTTTCAGAAGCATGTTATTAAGTGTTGGACTTCGGGACAAGTTGTCTGATAATTGTTTTCTGAGTAATCCCCTGGCCAATCTTCAGATAGGGTAATTCTTTAATAAGTATGCAGTGGTTTAACTGCCAGGTTGGTTAAGCCACAGGAGATCTCTGCTTAACAAGTGCAAAACCTTTTTCCAGCTGAAAAACGCTCCCCCCACCAGGACCTAATACCTGCACACCGAATTTAAAATTGCTGTTATTACTTTGTTTGAAGTCAGCTCAAGTTATGTATTAAGCAGAGAAAGGTGTCTTTATAAATTGACCGGCTGAAATTAGCTGATAAAAGCATGCTTTTCTTGTCTTAACAAGGATTACTGCCTCACTGCCCTGAAGATTGTAGAAAAGTTTCTGTTCATCTGCATGCATACCTCCATCTGCAAGCCAAAACTCTCGCAGTGTCTTAAGTACCATACAAAGTATTATTGCAAATCCTCTATGGTTTTGTTTGACGTTAACAAGACGCATGTTGACTAAGAAAAGCAGTTCCCTTGAAACATATTTGTTGGAGTTTGATGTTTAAAAGGAATTGGGCAGAAGAAAAGAGGTATTAGGACTAAAAAATACATGACAACCAAAGAGTGATAACTTAGATGTGAACTCATCAGCACTACGGCGATTACCTCCATTTTCTGTGCTGTGACATCAGAACTGTGCAAACTTTAGAACGAGTGGCACAGAAGGCCAGCAGTGCATTAAGGTGATTTTGAAATGGTAATTGTATCAAATGATAGCGTGCTAGCAAATCAGTCAAGCCCTTCATATATATAATCACTGTCTAGCAGAGATTAAAAAGAATGGTGTGAAGTATCTGTTTGTCAGCTGTTTCAGGTACACAGCTGTCCTTTTGCAACAAAAGAGCCGCTTTAAAAAAATGCACAGAACAAGCATTTTTGGCATGTGGCCAAGGCCATATGTTTCGGCAGAGGTGTGCCTTTGTGTCCTCTAATTTGATACCTTTTGATCTGTCTGATTAACGTCAATTTCTAAACAGAGGAAAGAGAAGATTATGGCATGCCGTGAAAAAAACACTTCCGTGGTCATGTTGAGTTTGTATTGTATCAGTTTTCACACAAGCAAGTTTGCATTTTACCAGTTTCAACAGCAAGGTGTGTTAAATGTGAGATTAAAATAGCTTAAAAGTAGTAAAGTTAAAGCAGGCGACAAAGAGAAGGCTTGTACAGACAGACAATAATAATAATAAACTTTATTTTTTAAAGGTGGCTTCTCAAAGTGCTTTACAGAAAGACAACAATAAAAAAATACACAAGATAAACGCATTGAGAATTTGTAGATGCAGTAGGAGCAGAGGGGTGAAGAATGCAACCAGTTCAGTAAAGGCTCTTCTAAAGAAGAAGGTTTTGAGTCTGGATTTGAAGGAGTTTAGAGAAGGTGACTCTCTGATATCCTTGGGGAGAGAGTTCCAGAGCTTGGGGGCATAACAGGAGAAGGCCTTGTCACCCACAGAGTGTAGACGGGCTCGGGGGACAGTAAGGAGACCAGAATTAGAAGAGTGAAGGTTGCGAGGTGGGGAGTAGGGCGATAATAGTTAAGACAGGTACTGAAGTGCCAAGCCAGATTCGGTAAACCAAAACTTTTTTCTCTTTAACCTCTCTCTCATACAAATAAAATAAAACACACAAACTTCCACAACATGACAATCTCAAAATTCAAACCAGTGTTTGAAAATTAATTTATTCACTTTTAGCTAGTTTATTTGAAAATCCTTTTAGCTCACAAGGTGCAGTACTTTATGGTATGAAGCATTTTATCTTCAAAATATTTTGTCAGTGTGTTATAAGGGGGTTAAAAACATTTTTTCTCCTTATATAATGAAATAAAATTTGTAGTATTTTTATGTGTAATTTATGGCATTTGTTTAACCAGTTCATAGTGTCTTTCAGATTAATTAACAAGTAGAATAGTGTGCATTAAAACAAATTGTTCTTGTGCCTACATTACGTTTAGGGTTCTGGTTTTTGGTAATTTTGCTCATGTGATGCCTTTTTAACATGAGGCAGTTCATGTCATTCATAAATGTTGTACCTCTGAAACAAGGAGAACTGAGCCTTGTGGCTCACAATGGCCTTATTCAGCCTCCAGGGAGTCATCCCACATTCATTTGCTTTTTCCATGTGTTGTACAAGAGATCAGCTGAAAAATATTATTTCAGAATAAAATCTGCATGTGCTTCTATGCTATCTGAAACACACCATTGCAGCGTTTAAGATTTTAATGATTTCTAAAAAACATACAGTATCTAAAATACAGGCAGTGCTGCATGCTTTTCTCCTAATTAGGATAAAGGCATTGCTTAAAGGGTTATGATTACAGTTTAAAGTGAGATTACTGGCTAATAAAGAAAACCAGGAACCCTGTTTTAATATTTCTGACATTGTGTATGGATATTGCCATACACAATGACTGCATCTAGCTGAGTACTGTATGTCCCCAAAAGACTCCAGGTAATTGATTTTTTTACTAAAATCTGCAATGACAGAGATCCCCATCTGAGCTGCTGGACTGAAAGTAATAAAAGATCGCAGTTCAGATTTCCTAAAATCAGCAGCAAATGAGCTACTAGAAACACAGCTTTTGGGCTTAAAATTGATGTTTAGACCTTGACTTCGTAACCTAATGGTTTTAATTTGACTAGTTGATAGACAGATGTGCATAGAATAATATAGGCAGAAAGACAGGGCATTTGTAAACTGACTGTAAAAATATCAGCTTAAAGGTTTTAAAATTTAAAAGCTTGCAGCTTGTACAAGTCTGTTTTTTTGGAAAAGGGCGAACAGTACTTCTGACCATTGCTATAAGACCAGGAAAGTGAAAATCTTTTTATGAGGCCTTATTGTCTTAAGATTTAATAATGATATATTTATACATTTTCTGATTGATAAAAAACTGTGGGACATAACTATTGTTTTTCAAGATTTCCATTTCTAATTAAAGAATTTTTGGTTCTAGTCCAGGTTGTATTTAACTACCTTTTGTAGAGTAGGAGTTAAAATCTCTTTAGGTCACCCAGTACTCTCTCCACATAGTATTTCACAAGTTAAAACTCTGGCCGCAGAGTAAATGAAAACCTGCAATCACAGTAGATTCCTCAGTGTCCTGCTAGTGGAAACAGGCACTGGTTGTGTAACACAGTCATCTTTACGTCATTGGTTTAATCCAAAAGACAGTCTGTAGCCACTTCTGTAGCATTGTCTTGGTGCTTGAAGTTTTATTGTGAGCCACTGTTTTTATTTTCAATGTTAAACCCCACCCCCGGGGGAGAGAGAACTCTTGAGCTTGCAGACATGCGGCTTCTCTTATTTCTTTTTTAAACGTATAAAATTGACAAAGACAAGGTAAAGTGTTAATTCTGTTGATTTCTGTGAACGTTTTGCACATCTAGGTAGACTTGAGGTGGGACTGCAGTGGGATAGGTTTTTGAGTTGCCAGACATTCTTTGGGTTTAAGCTGAATGTGCACCATTAAGCGCAAAAATAAATTAAAGAGAAAAAGATTGATAGTTCTGCGAGTTAAGTATGATGTTTACAAGAAACGTATATTGAAAGTATTAAAACTGCAGCTGTGTCATTGTATGGCAAATGATTGCTTTCTTTTGCATTCAGTAGTTGCAAATATAGACCTCAGCATCCAAAGAAATTGCTTTCACCTCTGGGCAAAACAGTCATACTCTTGCTGCTTAGTGTAAAGTCTTAACCTGCCCTTTCTTGTATGGAAGCAATAAAATGATAATACTTACCTCTGCTTATTTGTAGAAATAAAATATAATTTGGGTAGAGGTGGTTTCCCATTGCTTTAATTTACCTAAACCCCATTGATTAGACTGCGGATTAAACTGTTTTTTTAACCTTACATTATGACATAAACAGTACGTAAATGTGTTCAGTTTATGTTATTTACATAATTTATAAATTACAACATCATTTTCATTGCATGAATGCTTTATTCAGAAAGTCACACTTGTAGCTGGGTTGGGCCTTATCAAGGGGAATCCAGCACACCAGTGGAAAGTCCCAGTGCACTGTACTCCACCAGCCTGCTGCCAGGTGTAGAGAAGTAGTCAGATTTGCCAAGGTCCTCCTACATCCTGTTCCTCCAAGAGACTTCATATGCTTTTATTGGAGAAACCTGTCCTTTAAAAAAAAAAGATTGTTTTGACTTCATCATTTAAATAGGTCTACGTCTTGATTGGCCACCCTTTGGTACACATTGATGGTGCTGAATGAAGTACCAGATAGCTGTACTACTACTAATATAAGTGTTTTTAAAAAAACAACGGTGCCCACTGTTGACACTTAAAAAAAGCCTTTTTGTCAGGAGGCAGAGGTACCCTTAAGAATCTTATTTCCAGGAAGCATTTTTAATTTTGTGTTTTAACAAATTTGAAATGCTACATTAATTGTTTTATTCCTACTGCACTGTAAAAATACATCCATAAAATGCTTTGAGCTTTCTTATGTAAAAGCATTATATAAATTGCTATGTTGCAGTAGCTCAGTAAAAGTTCGTTAAAAAAAAAAGAATGTCTTCTAAGTTGCTTAATACGTTTTATTAACGAAAAGTTGCTCCTCCTTACTGCACTCCATCTTTCATACTATCAAGGTCCAATTGCAGCTGGAAGAGACACTTTACTTGTCTAATCTCTGTAAATCACTTTTGGTTTCAGCTAAATTATCAGTTAATATCTTTATGCATATTTCTTCTCTACAGAGTCCAGGTGGAAACAAAGAAACATCTCCAGGAAATGTACAAGACATCAAGGCCAAATTATCGACTTTATATGTTGAAAAGGTAAAAATCAATTTCTACATGTAGTTCCTGTAATTTCTAATATCAATAGGAACTAATCAAGTTGATTCAGAATTTACTGTCTGGTTGCACAGATCTCTTCTGAAAAAAAGCAGGTATTATTAGCAAAAATAATCATCATCAAGGTAAGCTCCTAAATACTAAAAATAAAGCTCACTCTTGCACTAGTTTCTTAATAACCAGAGATGCAAAACAAATGTATCCCATTACAGCTGCAATCTCAAATATCACAGTGTAAATTAGTGGTTATTTTATTAGTGGAAATGTTTTGAATAAAGGCAAATAAGTTGGTTAAGCTGCCTTATTTTGAGTCAAGTTGTACAAATAGGCATGTCCATTTACAATGTATTGACCACCTCCTTCATCGGTAGATTTGGTGAAGAAGTTGTCGTGGGAAATTCTTCATCAGCGGAGCAGGACACAGTCTTGTGCAGATTCAGTTTTATTGAGTTCAATAAGTCCGACAACGCGCGCTGGGTCTGGACTTATTGAGCTCTATAAAACTGAATCTGCACAAGACTGTGTCCTGCTCCGCTGATGAAGAATTTCCCACGACAAACTCATACTTCTCTTTTTCGTATTTTCTGTTTCGGGGGTGAATCCGATTCCTTTTGATTGACAGAAAAAGTTTTCGCTGCAGACTCAGTTGTTGGGGACAGAGGGGTAGCTTTGTTTTGTTCTTTGCTTTCCTGCACATGTGCTGCCCCTGGGAGTACATCTCTCCATCAGCTTGTTCTGGGTCCTGTAGCACTGTTCTGGTATTGGCAAGGAGTTTCTGAGGGCGCTACCTGTACTGATGGGTGGTGTGTTTTTATGATCTCACTGAACTGTTTTTATCTTTAGATTTGTCATGATTAGTACACCATGGTGTATAATCTTCGGCTTTGCACTTTTTTATGCATTCCAGATTCTTAGATTTTGATTATTTGGAAGTAATGTTTGTCGGTCACTGAATTTTTATTTTGTTTCCACTGGACTGTATGCTTTTTAAATTACTTGTTAGTCATTTCGATTTTTGTTTTGCACAGGAACAATCCCAATGTTGCCATAATATAGGAGTCTCATCTCAAACAGCAGAATGTTCCCAGATTTTCTAAAAAATCTTGCTGACCAATAATAGAAGTTAATTTTGCTGAACCATAACTTATTATCTATACTTTGTAAAGAGTGTGATGAAGACTAGAGCATGCACTGTAGAAAATAGAGTAACCAAGCAAAAGAAACGTCACTGACTAAACAGTTATCAGACCTGACTGAATGTACAACAGTTCAGTCCTTAACGCTAACATAAATGCAGCTCTTATCCACTAGATAGCTCTTGATAGATCACGTGTGTAAAATGGACCCTAAACGAACACTGCAAGTTGTTTCTCTGTGCCGATGTACTCCTGACCGTGGACTAGTCTACAAGTGGCTGGTCCAGAGATTGATTATAATCACTTTTCTCCAGTTACAGATCGCCTTTTTTCAGTAAGAACGTAAAGTGCACGTTCTACCAGTAGTTAATTTTTTCAGATCACAGTGCTGTACGCTATATCAATCGTGGCATATTGAGCAACCCTCACATTTTAGAGGATGGAATTAAGGACTTCATCAGGAGCGTGACTGCACTGTTTGCCTCTTATTTTGACAAAAACCATTTATGCAAAATTAATGACCTGCAATTAAAATGAGCTCCTCTCAGACACACACTGATAAGCCTTCGATCTGGAACGACTGCACATAAATTCAGTTCAATTCACGATACTTAACTTATCCCAGGGGGGCAGTTTAAACAGCAAGCAGCGCAACATGCCACACCAGACAAACAAAAAAACATTAGGTAAATGTATATATAAGTATAACAGCAAACAGACCATAGAAGATTGAAAGTAACAGTGTGAAATTAGATAGAGTCGACATTCGGTTTCTTATACGCAGGGCGAGACATAATCGTTACTTTAATGACAGCATATGATGCCATCTTCTAGCTTTAAGACTTGTCAACAATGAAAGCCTTGTGAATACCCCCTCTTTTGAGATCTCAGGAGGTGAAGTACAGTATAGTATAAAGTATAACATGTAATGCTTTCTGACTTCATTCTGAATTCCGCTGTTTTATTCAGATGTGTATAACTTTATTTTAATAATCCTGAAGATCATGATGATTGTGACCCGCCTGGTGCCTCAGATTCTTAGGCTGAGTTAAGCGTAGACTGTAGGCTGGGAGTAAAGGCAAGTCCCCAGAGCTGAATGGTACTGTATACCCTGGAGTCTTTTTCTCACCTTTTGGGATTAGCTGGGACCCTTACTGCTTGAGATAATTCAAACGGCTCTAGACAGCACCTCCTTCATTAGTCACATCAATGCCACCATTGTTTCATTCTTACTGAACAGCTATGTTAAGTCATTTTCATATCACATTTAGATAAACTGAGATTTAAATGGATCCTAATTCACTTGAGTCATGCATTTCAGTGATAAATAACTCTCCCCTGCATCATTTTATATGCTTCTACACAAGTCCCATTCTAAGGATTCGCCGTGTGGAAGAGGAAATAGCCATATGTGAAATCCTAGATACTGTACAGTGACGAATCCCCAGATGGGCTGTCTTTGCCAAACTTCAAACCACGTTTTTGGTCATTCATTTTGTGCCAGGTCAGAATTCAGTTTGATGGTCTTAGTCCTTTTTCATGGAGACAGCCAGAAGCAAACTTAGATACGTGGCGGTTTATCCTATTTCTTATCTCCAGGATTGGCAACCTGCAGCATGCTTGCTGTTATTGACGCAAAGATGGATTTTTAACAGCATCTGCAGTAAAAGTCTAATGAGCCACTAAGAAATTAAGTTAAAAAACATGTTTTTAAATATGCTTGACTGTTCTGTAATTCTCTACAACGTGCTACCCAATGGAAGCTCTACGGCACAGAAAAAAACGATTCACTTGATTTATTTAATTATTTTTAGCGGGGCTAGTCTATTGTTTTCACAGGAAAGCTCCCTGATAACATTTTTCACACTAATGTTAAAGGTTAAACATTGTAAGATAAGGTTTTGGCCTGCTTTTGGACTGTCTTGATGCAATCAAGATCTTTTTGTAAGAAAAAGGTCAAAATGACCCTGAAGTGCATGACAAAAAATGGGTTGCATTTTGTCAGATTTCAGGATTTCCAACATTGTGGCCCAATGTTTTCTTTTCTGATTAAATCAGCCTTGATACTAGTGATATTAATTTTTGATGTTTTGGTAGATACATGTTATGGATTTTTAAATGTGCAGCAGTAAAGTTAGATATCGACAAAGTTGGATAAATGCTTGATTTTCATTTCTTAGAACTTCAGAAGCTTCTTAGTGAATCCACCTAGAGATTTCAAACTTCTTGCATTTTGTTGAGGATGATTTGAGAATTTTTTCACTTTATCATTTACACACCTAAGACACTGTGTTTCAGATGTTTCAGAGGTATTTTGACGCGTGAAGTCAGTTGTTTATCCTGTAATCTGTTAGCAACTAAACACTCAGAGACTTGCATTCTGCTTAAAGTGTCAAGCAAGGGCAAGGATCACACTAAATGGTAAGAATTAATTGATTGATTTGAGATATTATTATATTTAAATATTCAAATTGTATTAATCAAAATGTAAGTAGGACTATCGTTGACATAAAATTGTATCAATTGCACACAGATCCGTAAAAACCAGTGCTTACACTAACTCTTGGCATGCCCCTCCTGAAAGGTTGCCAACCCCCGTCTTGTCTGATCACAGTATGGTGTATGGTGGAAAAACACTATTCGCACTAAATGGTATTTGTATTCTTCTGTTTTTCAGAATGCAATCTTTCGATCTGGCTGCTCTTCCTTTGCTTTTTGTCTGTTCTGAAGTCGGAAATTTACACTCTCCCAGAGGTCACGAGAAACTACTGTCTGTACATTTCAGGCGCTTTAGTCATGTTATAATTTACCGGGCTCATCTTTTTTTATGCCAGCAGTCTTCATTTTGCTGTGCGTGCTTTCTAGGCTCCCTGCTCAGTACTGTCTTGTGGAAATCCTCATCATAAACCACTGGTTATCAGCAGTGTTCGAAACAGAGACATACCTGTGGTCAAAAACACCACACCTGTGGTTTCTTCGGGTATTTTTTTGGAATAATTCAAATCTGGAGTACAAAAATATTCTACATAATTATATCCATTTGGATTTTATTCATGGAAGCTCGGGGTCTTTTTTTCACCTCTTCTGGGGGTGTTCAGTTCTTTTCTGGCAGTGGGTCCCCTTAACTGTACCAGTCTAGAGAAAAACATTCCCTTGTCTACGGCGCTTTGATAGATAATGACTGATGAAGCTGATTTATCTCTTCAACAAATTAGATTTGTCTGTCTGGCAGTACTGCAGCTCAGAGAGTGATCACTCGCTGCTGACAGCTTCCACGTGTCCCACTGTAGAGTCAGTGAGCTTGCAGAGCCTGGGGGTCGTTCTACATTTAGGGTGACAGGCACCTGTTATCTTTAACATTTTGGGAATAACTGAACTTAACTGAAACTTGTCAAAAATCGCAATTGTGCCGTATGCAGCAATCTTTGTGTAATTTCTAGTGCTTTTGCGATGATCGTTTCTAAACACCCCTTCATGGCAGCACTAGAGAGTGACTGGTACTGTGCTCAGATTATTAAAACCTTCCTGAAGATAACTGAATTCAGAGCATTGAGGAATACCACGCCCTGATGGAATAGGTATTCCTAAGTGTTCTCCAGAAATGGTCCTTTTTCGTAACAAAATTAAAACTCCTTTCAAACCTTTGCTGAACTGCTCTGGTCCAGTACTTCTCCCGTGAATCCTCTGCAAGCTCTTTACTGTCTTGACCTTGTACATAAGGAGCCCAGGAGGGGACTGTCCGAGGCTGGGGAGCAGCAGTGCACATCGCTGAAGCGATACCTCGCTGAAACACTGCCCTCTGGTGGTCGTTCTTGGGGCCTGCCATGGTGGGAAGGGGTGCAGTGGTTGCCATTTTGGAGGGCACGTTGGCTTCTGTGGTTGGGAGAGAGAGGAATAGTTCTCTACCTGGCGAGCTTTGGTTGGTGAAAAAATGCGACAGTTACTCTTTATCATGTTCTCGTTTTGTATTGTTCAGTTTCCAAAACAGAGCAAAAACAAATCTTATAAAACGGGTTATTTTATTGGTGCTACTGTATGAATGATAGGGTATGCAAGTGAGTGCTGAAACAGCTTTAGTATTGACTTCAGGTGTATCTGTTTAGTGTCCTTTTTTCTAAAATGTTCATGAAGAAAATGTTCATGCCATGCAGTTTCTTATTCTGAGCCATGCCACATGGTCGTGAAAGAAAAAAATAGAAATATTTAAGGAACAACAACGTGAGAGTCCATCAGACATTAGAACAGTCGCAACAGCTGACCTGCCACTACAGGTTGTTTGGGTCCTCTCATGTTTGTAAGTAGGTTCACATGGTGTATTAATTGGTTAATTACTTAATTGGCAAAGGGCAGAGCCACTTTCTTAGATGAGTTTAATTCAGACAAAATTTAGTTTAGATATGGATTCACTGTGATAGTTGGTTACAGAATTGGGTTGGTTACAGAATGTTTTTTATTTGCATATATTGCTCAACATGGTCAGAATAAAATCTCCTTGCACCAGATTTTTCTTCCCATCCTAGTTTTGCCATGTGCTCAGCCCTCATGAGCACCTGGTTAGAGGTTGGCCTGTCATAAACAAGTTTCAGATTAAAGCTTACAAGTTTAAATATGGAAATAATCGTAGAAACATTGAGTGATGTCTAGCCTCTAGTATTATTTCTTACTAATTATTGAAGCATAAGTAAAAACAAATTAAATAAAGGATGTTTTTACATTATTTTCAGGGGGTGTTTTGTCCACAACTGTATGTAGTAGCATTACATGTTGTTTTTTTTCTCTAATTTGCCCAAACAGAAAATGTCCCTACCAAAGACAGAACAGAAATTTGAAAACTATGCAAGAAGTTCATTAAAGATCACTGATAAGGAAGTAAGTATGTCTGATTTTCTTAGTGTAGTGTTTCTGTATCAGTTTCTGTTATATTAGTTTGTTGTACAATATAAATGCCTGACACTGTAGTGTTCTGCTTCTGGTCATTATTAAGATTTTATTTAAAATGATTTTTTCTCTCTCTTTTAGGTAATAAAGGAGCTTTGGGAGTTTGTACAGACATTTAAAACAGGAGGAAAATAAGACTGTATCCTAGACACTGATATAATTGTCATTATAATGCCCCTTTTGATCATCCTTCCTGTTCATTGCACTGATGTGGAGTTATCCGAGCTCTGAACGTTTATGCTTCTTTGTATGAGTATGTTTATGTTAACTATTGTTTTTGGAATACCTGCAAAATCCACACATCAGTTATTTCGTAATCAAAAACAATAAACAGTTGAACCTGTTTTCTTTACTGTTTAGTTCAAGAGTACAACAGAAATCCAGAAGTGCAGTCTGTTTATGTAACACATTTTTTTTTACAGAAACTTCTTAGACCAGAACTTTGCTTTGCGGTTAACAAACAGAATCGCCTTTTTAAGTTGTATTCTGATCCGTCAAACTGTTGTTTAGAGAGTATTACCATATTGTGATGCTGGGATTTTGTGTATTTCCACAGACCAAGTTGTGCAGAATGAAAAGTTTCCACAGTGTACATTGATATTAGCTTCTGTGCATAGAATGGTACAATCTTCATATTGTGTAATAATAGTACGTCCTTTAATTATGGAGAATGTAGTTAATGAGGTGCCGTCCTTTTTACTTCTTGTAATCCCCCAGTAATCATTTAAATGCCAGAGGTGCTCAGCATCATTACAGTCATGCAAGCCCACACATTTGTTTCCCAAGATTGCCGCTGTATTAGTATCAGATACTTTTTGCTTAATTCTGTTAGGTTCATTTTATTTCATTTTAAATTTATCTTAAGTTCATCTATCAGTGTATTAAGATGATCTATTACTAAGATTAGGAACAAGTAAGAGGTTTATTCCCTACTGAAAAAAAGGAGAAAGAAAACACAATGTTTCAGCCGTGGAGCCTTCTTCAGGTGTGCCTTCTTCACGACACCTGAAGAAGGCTCCACGGCCGAAACGTTTTGTTTCCTTTCTCCTTTTTTTCAGCAGGGAATAAACCTGTTACTTGTTCCTTTGCAGCCTACGCATGCTGACGCGGCTCCCCACCTGAACTATTACTAAGATTATCTTTTCATATGTTTTGGAACATCCTGAGCCTTGTAAATGCTTTTTTACCCAACAAGAATGTTACTTCTTTTTATTTTAGTTTTTACCTTTTTGAAATTACATTGTAGCTTTTATATCCATGTACAGCGCTTCCCTGTTCTAACTGCTGCTGGGATTCATAATCGGGAGACAACGTTATTTGTGTTTTGTATTAATGTAAGTATTGGCATTCAGACTCCTTAAATGATTTACCCTGTCCACAAGCCAAATGAATACCCTGTACATGATATATAATAACCACTGTTGTTTAATTGTACTTTTTGTTAGAAGATTCTGTAAATTCTGAACTACGGAATGCAAGGACCTTTGTATATAATTGGAGTGATTTGCTCTTGGTTTATAAAAAGAACAGTTTTCCTTTTGGGAAGTACTATTACTTTTAATGTTTATATGTTTCAACTTCAATGCATTTAAATACAGTTTTGTAAAGCCAACACAGAATTTGTGATTTTCTTTTACCTAGTTTGAGAGATTCTGTATAGTACAGGCAAACTCCTGTTCAACATTCATATTTTTGCTCAAAATTCCTGGAAACACCTGGTTTAAAGCTATTTCTTATTTAAGCCATCGTTGATGCATGCTGATTGCTCTTTCATCTTATTGGAAGTTTTCCATTTAATTAAGGAGTTTTGTGGGAGCGGTGTCTTTGGGGAAATAAAAAAGCAAGAATGTGTCAAACACTCTTCTGTACTGACATTTTGTGAGTCTTATTGCATTGTTCCTGTAATATTCTTTCTAATATTATAGTTTCTTTCATAAGATACTGTATGTCAGGGGGTTTAGTAAAACAGTAAAAAAAACATTAGAAGCTGAACATTAAAAGTCAGAGTACCAAAGTAAGTTATGTTTTAAAAGGTGAAAAAGCTCACATGTTTCGGACAGGTAAAAAAAGGATACAATTAGCAAATTCACAACCCTTGGTTTGAGAAGCAGCGTTTCTGTCGTGCACAGCAAAAATAGAAAAGTGGAAAAGGAGCATAGCCCATGAATAGTCCTAGTCTGTATATGGAGGTCTTTCACTACAGCTGATTCATCAATATCTGTTAATTATTTAATTAATGAAACCTACAGGACTACTCATACAACAAAATTCATTATTTTTGTTTTCTTTTGTACAAACACTAACCTGCTTAGTAGCATGCCTCTTCTGAAAGCACCACAGGCTTCTTTAAAATTGTGCTGATATAAAGTGCCTGTTATATTTCTCTGCCTATGATCACGTACAGTTGCAGTTCCTGCAGAGGCCAAATGAATAAAACAGACTAGTCCTGTTTTTTACCTTCAGAATCCCTCCTTGGAATCAGTCTTACCACAAAAAAAATTTAGTTCTTGTCTTCCAGACAGCCAAGCAATATACATTCTGCAACGTGAATTTGAGACTGATGCTCAATTAATCCTTCTGCCACATTAACTTTCATTTTAACTTGAAAGATTTTCATGGTGGTTTTGTGTTTCCTATCTGAGATGTATAAGTGGCCAGAAAGATGTCACTGAAAATAACCAGAGGCTGGTTTTCAAGTATGAAAAACACAGAAGGTGTGTAAGAAATTCATTTTGAACCCTGTTCTTGTGTGCTTATAGTAGCGTGAACTGGCAGGCTCTTACATAGGATCCTAGTGGGAACAGATTTTTAAGGTTTAGTTTAAGAGTACTATAAAATGGTAAAAGCTGCTGTTTTGTCAAGGCAGAACTGAGTCATGGCAAATTTCAAAGTTTTTTCTTGGCTTTGTAAGGGCACCTTATTGAAACACATTTAAAACCAGATCTCGACTGTGGTTTCCCTTTAGTGGAAACCAAGAAGTCTGAGGAACTTTTAACAATGAATAGATGTACCTATCTTATTTCACACCACAATTAGTAATAGGTTGCCCAAGCCTTTACTACTGTACTTTTTCGGATCACATTTAATACAGGTATTGGACTGATACTGGAATGGAATGTCATCATTATGACACAGAAAATATCACAGAAGCATCCATAATCAAAACTGATTTTGTAGGATTTTTACGCGGTGGCCACAGGAGTGTCAGAGGAGTGAAGTGTCAGACATTTGCTGACTTAAAAAGTTCTACAGTTGAGTGATACACTGACTAAGTTGAAATGTTAATGGCCAAAACTGTTTTTCACACAAGACAAAGCAGTCATGCTGAAGCTTTAGCTGAAATAAAGCAGGAAAACTATTTTTTTCTGAATATTTACAGTGGACTGAATGCCTTGTGAACTATGAAAACCTTCTTTGGAAGGGGTTGGTTTAACAGAAAAAAAACCTGGCTGGTTTCCGAGTTCATCATTTATGAACACGCTCAGACTGAAACAGGGGTACTTGTGTCTTTGTCTGCAGCTTCAGCCCGTTGTCTGTTAATTTGACTTTGGAAAATGAAGGGATTTGCATTTATCATAAAGAGGGACACAACCGTGAAAGCTGTAGTGATTTGTTATAATATCAGACTTGGTGCTCTCCATAGAAATGATTGATTTGTTGTTCAGCTTCTGTTTTGGTTACAATTTGGAGACTTTTACTCTTAGCTCTGCAGTAGATTTTTTTTCCAGTATCATCAGTGGATTCTTCAACATAATGAAGATGTGGTAAGTTATCAAACATTGCTGTGCCAGTACTTTTAAAGGGCACTGTATGTACAGAGTGTGATGCCATTAGGGGTGTCATCCTGAAGGGAAGATACTTTTCACGGTGTGTCATGGATGTTTTAGAGGTTTGTGCCTGCAGAGAGATGGTGGCTGAAGAACATCATTAATTAAAATGGCAGTGTTACATAATTACTTGAACATGGGACAGGTGTGCTTGCTGTTGCAAGCTATATAAGCAGACTATTGACTTGCTAGTTGAGAGGACTGCAAGAAAAAGATATAGAGGAGTGAGGCTTACTGAAGTCAAAAACTGGAGAGCAAACTCAGTATGCTTGTGCTGCTATGCGGTATTGTAAGTGCTTGTTTCTATATTTGTTGGAGGAACTAAGATGTGAGAAATACTGGATCTGGATGGAATGAATCATGTTGCATGTGGAATGTTTGCTCTACCTGAAAGCCTGCACTGATTTCTACCCTAATACTGTTTGAAGTAAGGGAGAGGCACAGCTTACTGTGGAGAGAAGGCGAACAGCAGGCAAGACTGTGACTGAATAGCTGCTGCAGTACTGGCTGAGATGGAGAACGTGCCAAATATAAATTCGCCCGGAAGAAAATACGGGAAAAAAAGATGGAAAGCAAAACCCAAACACAGAAAGGAGGAGGAAACTGTGAAACTTGGCAAATGACTTGGGATTGTGTGAATAAAGAGGCTTTATTTTTCCTTTATTGTATAAAAAAACTGCAGTGATTTGATTTGGTGAAAAGGAATTATATTGGGAAGCTGCACCTGATATTTGAGCAGGGAGGCTTGTTTAGTTGTTCCAACTAGTGAGCTAGGTTTATTTTATTACTTTTTTGCATTTATTTTGTGAGATAATTAAAGGCAGTTTGAACTGTATTATTTTGTTCGGTGTGTCTGTCTTGAGTGTCGCATGTTTGAAGTGCCTGTTTGATGACTACAACCCCTGCGGCATCACAATAGCCTATGAAAATTGTTTGGTGTGACGATTGTTAGGAACCACACTATATCTGTACAATATCTATATAATATATTTAATATATTTTGACTGCTAATAGAAATGTATGGCAGAGGAGATATTTCCATGTGGATTATGAAATGTCAAAATACTTACTATGTTAACTTTGTAATGGTTGAACAATAAATCTTTTAAGTGTGGTGTTAAACAAGACAATTTTGGTCAATGAGAGAAGAGTGTTGTGGGTTTGACCAAGCTGACCAAGGAATCTTCAACAGGTTCTTTACATTTTCTCATGTTTTCCAGATGCCATACCATTAATTATTTTTTACTCAAGTGCAAAATGTTGTTGACTGCTCACAGTTGTTTTTGTACACTGGGGATTTAAGAATGCATATTTGTCCAATTGCATTATTGCAGCATAACCTAAGGAAATAAAAACAGATATAAAACAACAAGATAAAATTAAAAAATCATAAATTTGGATTAAAAAGTAACCTCCTTTCATGACATGCACGTGCAAATGATGGTGTCACCTGGAAATCATTTGGGAATACACAAAAAAAGAAAAATTAAAAGATAAAAAGTTTGATTGTCCATTTACTATCTCTACAATTAAAACCATAAGAAAGTTTAAAAAAGAGATGAGGCTATCTTCTAGTTTGTTGTGTAGTTATTAGCTAATTGATCCAAGGATCTTACCCCGCTGTTTCTTGAAAGAGGCCAGAATATTGTCTTCAACAACATGTCTGGGTAGCTTGTTCTAAACCCCCATAGCCCTCTGCATAAAGAAGTGCCTCCTGTTCTTTGCTATTTCCATGGAGTTTTCACATGTCCCCTGGTTCATGTTCATGTGTTCGTTCCGACACAATCTGTTGGGCTGACTTCGTCAGTACTTTTGAGGATTTTGAATACTTGTATCAGGTCCCCTTGTAGTCTTCACTGTTCAAGACTAAAAAGATTTACTTGTTGTCTGTCATTGTAGGATATTCCCCTAAACCCTAGAATGTATCTGGTTGCTCTTCTGTGGATTCCAGGGCAGCAATATATTTTCTACAAGGTGGTTACCGAAATATTATACAATATTCTATATGAGGCCTTACCACTGCATTATACCATTTTAGCATAATATTACACTTTTAACGATACATCTAGCATTTAGTTTGCCTTTTTAATTGCTTCTCTATATTGT